AGCCTGATGTAGTCATTGATGCCATTGCTTGTTCAATCATTCTGTAATTTCAACTTTGCTAGTGGAGACTCTTGCCGATTTCTCTCGTGAATGTGCAAGCACTAAGGAACCAAGCAAAGCTACGATCACTCCAAGTAGTTCGTGCCAACCCCCGTAGTCTAGCTCACTACCGTTGTAGAGTGACTCTCCGCAGTGCGCTCCCCAAGGGATGGTTCGGTCTACATGTATGCCAGTTAGAGATGCTTACGGTTCTTGTGTTAGGCTCATTAATATAACAAATACAATTGTGGAATCTGTGCACTGGTACTCGAGTCCGAGTCAAAACAGTGGCTGATGGATTCAAGGCAAGAACGAGCTAGCTTTGAATCTATGGAAACAATCTCTGTGGACACCATAAACATGCATAAACACATCCTACTATGTGATGAATGTGATGCAATTATCCATGCCAGCACTAGGAGGACTCGGTAATTTGCCAAATACCATAGCGCGCCTTCATAATCTTGTCTTGGTGCATTGGAGAAGGAGCAACAGCAGGTGCAACAAGTCCAAAGCCCCCACAGCTGCAGGAGCAAGTACTGTGCTCTGCTCCTCACATTCCTGACTCTTCAGACCTCAAATCCTATTACTGGAGAAGTTGAGTTTCAGCAGCCTCAACACTTGCACGACTTCACGCCTCAACTGCTGGCCTTGGTGCCTGCTGTGTGCGTTGGAGCAGCAGCAGCCACGGCAACAAGCACCAGAGCCCCCACAGCAGCAGCTAGGGACGTACCCCACAGCACCAGGGGCGTTTGGGCAGCACACCCCTGTGTGTGATTGGCTGCAGCTGCCGGTGATGGCCCGTTAGAGAGAGGAGAGAGTAGATAGGTTGCTGTGAAAGGCGGCTTAAGGTGGTTGCAGGTCCCATGGGAGGGAAGCAAGGGGAAGGAGCGAGTGAGAGGCGGAACGGAGGAGGGAGAGAGGGGAGAGTGGCGGGGAGCGAGCTGGCAACACAGGCTGATGGGGGAAGGGAGGAGGTGGTGGATGAGGATTAACGGTAGCAGAGGCAGTGAGGGGTTGAGAAGGAGGAATGCGGTAAGAAACCATTGGAAAAACAATCTGAGCAGGATAAGTTTGACAGCTTCGGACAAAAAGGCATGGTAACTGGAAGGGAGAGTGGTAACAGGTTGTGTGGACGGCGGTCCAGATACAAGGGTTGCAGTGGGCAACAAGACAGGCTGCATGAAGGGATAAGTTGACGGGGACGATAGAAATATTACATGAGAATAGGAAATGGTGACAGAATATAGAATGGTTACTGGGTAACGGGAGTGCAGAGGCAGTCTGAACTCCACTGAGAAAGCGACTTGGTCCTCCTCCTCACACACGCCCGCTCCCTCCCCCTTCCTCTCCCCCTCACGCACGCCTACTTCCTCCCCCTTCCTCTCCCTCTTCCTCTCCCCCTTCCCCTCCCCCTCCCCCAATGCCACGTCCCTTTCCATGAGTGCCACCGATGCTTCACACCGCGGCGCCGGCTACTCCAGCTCCACCAGACCTACCACCCAGGATCGGTCGCCCGCTGGCTTGGAGGGGAGGGAAGGGAGGAAGGGGAGCAACAGGGGCAGGAGGGGAGTGGCGGAAGAGTTGTGAGGGAGGGCGGGAGGAAGAGAGGGAGGGAGGGAGGGAGGCAGGGAGGGAGGGAGGGAGGGAGGGAGGGAGGGAGGGAGGGAGGGAGGGAGGGAGGGAGGGAGGGAGGGAGTGAGGGAGTGAGGGAGGGAGGGAGGGAGGGAGGGAGGGAGAGCAGGAGACTGTCCCTGGTGGTGACTATCCCTCTGCGCTCTACCCTTTTGCTGCACACTCTTCCCCCCTTCATTGCGCCTGTCCCTTGAAAAGACTCTCTTCCCCACTGTGCTCTTCCCCTTCCTCAATGCTCCCTTACCCCCACACTTCACTGCGCACTCTTCCCCCCCTCACTGCACACTCCCCCCCCTTCATAGCGCATTCCCCCCACTTCTCCTCTCCCCCCTCCCCACCTCACACGCCACAGAACGCCCCAGCTTCATTTGGTCTCAGAATCCCTCCACCTCTCAAATGGCCTCACTGCGTTCTGCACACCGCGCATTTCCCCTCCCTCTGCTCCCCCCCTTCTCTCCTCCTCTTTACATTACAATCTCACGCGCCCTGGTCAGACGGATCAAACGGTTCGGCGTACAGCCCACGTGGCACAGGCTACTCCAATCGTATCGTGACACGTGTCCTCCCAGCCTCCCCACTGCTTTCCATGCGTTCAACAGCAGCAGTGCAGCTTCTGAGTTCTGGAACCGCTCTGCACCCATCTGTCGGCTGCTCCTTCTCTCCGCCGTCGGTTCTCCCTCCTTCCGTCTCTCCCTCATTCCCATTGACACAGCGCCTCGGGGATCCCCGTTCCAGTAAACAGGCGCTTCGATGCACGCCACGTGTGCACCGCCTGGATGACGTGGACGGAAAACGTCGGCGCGGCATGCCACGTGGAACGACGTGCGCAGCACGCGGTGCGCCCAGAGCCCCTCGAGGCTCCGCGCGGCGACCCGCGCTGCGCAAGGCACGGAGGGGAGGCGGATGGGATGTGGGAGCACGAGGGGGAGGAGGGGGAGGAGAACGAGAAGGAGCGGGAATCGCGGAACGACTCCTCGGACGGTGAAATATCAAGAAATGGCGTCACGAAGCGGTAATCAGTAACTCGGATCACACGCGATGCGAATTTGGTTAAGCCTGTTGTGGGTCATACACCGTGCAAAACAGTTTTATGAAAACACGAAGCCGCCGAATATATCCCAACAGGGTATCGCTTCTCCTCCGGTGGTGATACACCGAAGGTGGATCCTGACGCAAGCGTGTATCGTTTTGTAAGGACGGCTGCAGGAGGTTCCGGATTCTCGAGGGTGGATATCAAGGAGTTGATGTCCATCCACATAGAGGTTTTGAGCAATCCCAGGCGTCTAACCATAAATTCCCTTGCTGCATTTGATGGGTACGAGAAGTTGCAACTCGCCGATACCAATTTTAGGGTTAATCTTGCGAAGGAGGGGGATTTGGAGCTGGTAATCATGTGGCGTCGTTCTGCACTGAACTGCGTGGCAAGCCTATACGAGAATGTGGCGAACGCGGACGGCTTCGTTGTGAAACCACCGCCACCCAACAGAGACCCTGAAGCTAAGCGCATATACAAGGGTCCTGAGACGGGGAGTTGGTGGCGAGAAGTCCTAGCCGAATTGCCACAAGGGGCGTCAGTAGCTGCAGTGTGTCGCTTCTCTCCCGCCAAGTGCGTGTGTGCCGCAGTGCTGCGATGCGGCACGAATGTTGCCTACATGCTACAAGCTTACTAAGCCCAGGCGAGATATGATACTACATCTTTCATAGCTATTCTTGATCTGCACATCCATGGCTGCCCAAAATGAACTCGGGACTTTCCAGTGCAGTATTCCATTTTGAAATGGTTCTACGCGTTTGCGTGTTTTTGTAAGCGGTAATTTGATGAGTTTAGTTACTGCAGTCGTCGAATTTGGTTAAGCCTGTTGTGGGTCATACACCGTGCAAAACCGTTAGTTTTTTTTCTGCCCGGGGCAGCAGGTCGTCAGGTCGTCACAGGTCGTCAGGCCTGACGACTCGTTTTCGCTGAGAGATACCGTACTGAAAAACCCCTGAATTTAAATGTTCCAGTCGGAGGGTTACCACAGGGTCAATTTTGAGCCACACAGACTCTAGTGCTTCGCCGATTTCGTTCCAGCTAGCACGAATCGCGACATCTCATGTTATTCCAAGCAATTTATATATATACCCTAGCGTCTGCCTCGTTGGTGAAACCTGCTGCTGTCGCATCTAACCTTCTCCGTTTCCTCTTCCTTCTAGACTCGTTCTCGTCGCACAATGTGTCGCACATTTAAACGCCATGTTAGTTAAAAACCGCCGCGCTATACGATCTAGGGGCGCGTGGCGTGTCGCCCGGTGTCTCTCGGGGGCATGGGCAGGAGGGGAAGAGGAGGGGAGTAGTAGTAAGGGGGGAAGAAAAGGGGGAACGGGGAAGGATAGGGCGGCGGGGAGGGGGAAGGGAGCGTTGTCAGCAGCATAGAGCGAGCGGCTGGTCAAAACTCATCATGACCGGCGGCTCTTCGAATCCGAGATGTCAATAGTTTGTTTGGTTCTTCTCTCACTGTGCTGTATTGTGTGAGCATAGGCGAGTAGTGGACGTATGAGAACTCGCCACGTGTCCAGTGAGCTCCATGACGATTAATTCGCCCCAGTCGTCCCAAACTCCCCGTTCCAGGTCTTGGCGCTGCATCCCCCCTCGCTGCACCGCCCCTCGCTGCACTGCATTACGCCATTCTTCCTCGTTTGTTTGACCTCCTGATCTCTGTCAACTTTCAATTCCTCGCCGTTTCACCATGCCTTGCCATGCCGCCATTCTTTGCGTCTCCTATTCTGCACACCCCTTCCCATCCCTAGTCTCTCTACTCATCATTGACCTGCCTGCTACCACGTCCCTCTGAGACCAGGATCAACTTCCAGAGATTCGAATGGACGGCTCAGATCTTCTCGTGGACCCAGAGAAGGCCCTAACGGATGGCTTTTTGGCGGTCCACAATGCAGCACTTGAGGAGAGTGAGAGGGAGGCAGGTGGGAGGGTGTGGGAAGAGGAGAGTGTGTGAGTGGGGGGCAGGTGGGAGGGTGTGGGGAGAGGAGAGTGAGTGGGGTTGGGGTGGGATGTACGAGAGGAGGGTGGGATGCAACCATATCTACGACTATTTCCTCTATTCCACCTGCTCCTACCCCTTATAGCCTTCCTTTACCGCATTATAAGCAACAGGCACTACAGTAGTTATATTGTATCTGTACAAATTGTTCCTCTTACATACATGCCTCACTCCGTTTCATACCTCTGCCTTGTTCGATCGCAGCATTAGAGGCACCACAGCGGTGGTAGCTCACCTCTACAAGCTGTTTCTCTTATATGCCTCTCTCTTTTCATTTCATACTCCTTACAGCCTCGGTCAATTGCAGCATAAGTGGCACCGCAGCAGTGCTAGCTCACCTTTACAAGCAGCGGCTGGCTTTGGCGTGGGTGGAGGACTCGAGGGCTGTGCTGGCACGGAGACGAGAGGGCGGAGGTGAGAAAGTGTGCGTCAGAGACGGAGAGCACGGGTGAACTGGAAACAACATGGGAGATTATGAGAGGCCGTTTAGTAGTGGCTTGCTGGTTGTGGCGTGGATTTGGGACTCACGGGCTGTGCCTAGAGATGAGAGAGCGGAGGTGAGCAGAGGGTAGATTTCGAGAGATTGAATGTGAGAGACGGAGAGGGATGGGTGAAGAGAGGGGAACGAGAGTGAAAGGTGGGTGGCTCTATAAGCAGCGGCTAGCTGGCTGTGGCGTGGGTGGGAGACTCGTGAGCTGTGCTGGTACGAAGACGAAAGAGGTGAGTGGAGTGGGGGGCAGAGGAGGTGAGGAAGAGAGGAAGCGGGTGAGAGGAGAAGTGTATGTGGGCGTGGGTGGGAGACTAGTGGGTTGTGCTGACTCGGAGACGAGAGGGAGGACATGTGCAAAAGGGAGAGATTGCATTACAGAATGTAAGACGCAAGAGGAAACATGAAAGAAGAGAGAGTGGGTGGGGGACTCGAGGGATGTGCTGGCAAGAGGAAGAGAGGGAAGAGGTGAGTGGAGGGCGGAATGACCTCTCCATTCCCTCTCCCCTGCCCGCACCCACCCTTCCCGTTCTTCCATGCCATGACCTGGTGGCAGTGCGGCTGCCTGCCGTGGACCACAATCCATCACACCAAATCAAACCCCCTTCCTTCTCTCCCTTATGACCCTCTCCATTCTTCCTCCCCTGCCACATATTAGGATGACCCAACGGCAGTGAGGCTGTCTGCAGGCCACAAGCTCTCAAGCTTCCCTCCCTTCCCTTCTCTTTCCCCCTCTCCGTTCCCTCTCCTTCGTTTCCACCCGTTTCTTCCTCCCCTGTCACAAAGCGGGATGACCTGACGGCGGCACGCCTGTCAGCAAACCACAAGCTCTCTCTGTCCCGAGCCCCCCTCCCTTCCCCTCCCCTTTTCCCGTCCACGTTCCCCCCCCCCTTCCCCTGCCTCAGATCGAGATGTCCTGGCGGCGGTGCGGCTATCAGCGGACCACAAGCCAAACATCGAGGAAGAGAGGGCGAAGATAGAGGCCAGTGAAGGCAGCGTGCAGCAGTGAGTGATCTGAATGGTGCTCTCAGCAAGGGGTGATGGGGCATGACATGAGAGGTCATGCTGCATGGGCGTGAGAGGTCATGCTGCATGGGCGTGAGAGGTCATGCTGCATGGGCGTGAGAGGTCATGCTGCATGGGCGTGAGAGGTCATGCTGCATGGGCGTGAGAGGTCATGCTGCAGCAGAGAATAACTGGTGTGCGCTTGCATTGATGACACGTGGCACATGGCACATGGCAGGGATGTGGACGACGTGGGGCCGTTCCGAGTGTGTGCATATGAAGACGGGTCCCATGCTGGGCCTGGCCATGAGTCGCAGCCTGGGGGATAAACTAGCGCACACTGTGGGGGTCTCCGCCACTCCTGAGGTATGCTCCCACCCACTGCATGTGTCCGCTCACACAGATTGAGTGCTTCGTCCTTGCACTTCCTCAACCCTCCCTATGTCCTCACGCCACGCCCCTCCCCTCCACTCTCCCTCACAGGTGGTCGTGCGTCGTCTCGACCAATCAGACGTGTTTCTGGTGCTCGGGTCGGACGGCCTGTGGGAGCATGTGGGGGACGACAAGGCGATAGGAGTGGTGGTGGCGGCGTGGAGCATAGAGGCGGGTGTGAAGGCACTGCTCTCTCTCCTCCATCCCACTGCTCACTCGCTTCCCTGGATGGAACCACTCGACCCTCTACTCTCTCTCCACCCTCTCCTCACTCTACTCTCTACTCTCTCTCCACCCTCTCCTCACTCTTCTCTCTCTCCACCCTCTCCTCACGCTTCTCTCTCTCCACCCTCTCCTCACTCTTCTCTCTCTCCACCCTCTCCTCTCTCACACGAGCCATTACCGGCACCTGCAGCCAATCACATGCTGCGGTTCATGTGCCCTTGCCTTCCGCATGCCTTGTGCTCCCTCCTCCCCCGATCTGCCTGGGACCATCCGCCCTGCACCCACCAGCGCCAGCCTCAGCGCCATCCTCCTCAGCACCACCGTCGCCATCACCATCATCATCCCCACCAGCATCAGAATCATCACCTCCACCATTCTCAGAACCGAATTCGCCCTCATCAGCATCAGAATCGCCATCGCCATCGCCATCACCGTCAGCAGTGTGTGATGCCGTCACTGCGCCCCGCTGCGAGTGCCTGCCCATGCGGCTCACCTGGTCTTCACAGGCAGCAGCTGCAGATGGGGAAACAGACGGGGTGCAGCTGAGAGCAACAGGGCTGGAAGGAGACTCGGAGGCAGTTGCAGTTGTAACAACAACAACAACAGCAGCAGTAGAGGGGAGGCATGAGGAGAGGGGGAAAGGAGGGAACGGCAGGGAGGGGGAGGTGCCGGCGGGGTGTGCTGCCCACACGCTCCTGGTGCTGTGGGGTACGTCCCTAGCTGCTGCTGTGGGGGCTCTGGTGCTTGTTGCTGTTGCTGCTGCTGCTCCAACGCACACAGCAGGCACCAAGGCCAGCAGTTGAAGCATGGAACTTGTTCTGAGGCGTCTCAATCAAACTCAACTGCTGCAGTGCCCATTGGGGCTATGAAGGCCCAGACATGAGGTGTGAAACGGCAGGAATAAGAGGAGCAATGGAGCAACGCAAATGCTGCTGCGGCTGTGGTGGGTTCTCGTGCGATTGAAACTACAGTTGTTGTTGAGGAGAGAAGACGCGGCATGCATTGCCTTGCTTCGTAGGCAGCACCATGGCGGTGTTCGCCAGCAACTTCGAAAATAGATGGCATTTTGACGGCATCGGAATAATAACCACCAAACCCTTTTTTTATCGGTGTAAATCACTCTGTTTCTCTGAAAATCAGGGTGGTTTTTGCAAGGTCACTCTGTACCTCTGGGTAATTTTTTTGAGAGTTTTTTTTTCTCTGATTTGTCAGAGTAGTCTTGTTAGGCCCTCTGATGTCCCAGTATTTTTTTTAAGGACACCGATTTTACTCCGTGCAGAGGATACATGTATCGCCCGAACATCCGTTCCCCCCCTTATCCCCGCGTTACCGGTTTTTACCCGAACCGCACCGGAAATCCCTCTGGTTTCCGCGTGTGTTGGCAGCAGCTTGAACGGTGATTGGCTGGTAGGGCATCTTTCAGGCCAGCGCACGCTGAGAACCGCCCACCGTATACTTAGCTGGATTTTTGAAAACCGACCACGATGTACATCACCCAACCTTAGAGGCAGCACTCAGCAGGTTCGTCTGCAGCACCCAACTTTCGAGTGTGGCGTGCAGGGAAAGGTCTGTTGCTCGGCTGGCTGACGGGGTGAGCACCAAACCCCACATTCTTTCCCATTATCTCCCCTTCCATTGACGAGCACTCCATCGCACCAGTGGTGGTTGTTCTCAATGGGGTTTCAAGGCACATCCCCGCGCACTATGGATACTGACGCCGATGCAGACGCGGCTGATCCGAATGATAGGCCATCGTGTAGCAGTCGTCCAGTGACTGGGCTTCAATTTCTCAGTGGTGTGCATCAGGCGCACATGCGCGACGATGACGAGGACGGTGACGGCGGTACAGAATGGGTGCGACGCCCTCGCCCGGAAGGTGGCGAAGAGCTTGACGGTATCGACTTCTGGTGTCGCTAGCCACATGGGGAGCCTGAGACTGCAGATTCCAACGGCATTGAGGAATGGGTCGCATCGCCGCGTGCGGAGGAACCTGCTGAACCGGCCGAGACGGTTCCAACCCAAGTCATTGATGCCACCACTCCGGAGTTGACAGGATCAATGGCCCCGAAAAAGCGACGGATGACGCAGTAAGTGCTGCAGTGGGGAACCCCGCCGCCAAAACCCCCCGCTCCGCCTCCCGCCTCTGTACCACCCCCCATTCCTCCCCTTTCTGACGTGGAGAAAAGAGAGAAGGCTTACCTGAAAGCCCAGAAGAATTACACCTCGGAATGGCTGCCGAGGTTCGATTGGTTGATTCTTGACAAGACCCCCGAAGGCGAGCCGTGTCTATGTTGAAGAGCACAGGAAGGATAACGCACGATACGGACGAAATGGCGCCGGCGGACGTGATCTGCAGCTTGGCTCCATGCGCTGGCACGAGAACAGCATGAAGCATGATGACGCGATGAAGAAGCAGGCGAATTTGATGAAGAAAATCACAGATCAGAAGAAAATCGCCGACTTCGCGAATGGCGATCCCGAAGGCTCTCGCGTCGCGCGCCTCATGCGGGCCATTCGTTTTGTGTGCCGCACCAACACTCCCATCCACATGCTTCCCCAGATCGTCCAGTTCCTTCATCGCGAAAAAGGAAATTTGCGATTTTGGGGGTCCGAAGGTTTTTCTGCGAAAAACCTGCGACTTAGTTGCGCGGAGTGTACAAAACACAACGCACGCAAAATGCAACAAACCTCACACCAGTTTCGAGGGTTTTGACCGATACAAAACTGTCCTGTCAGAATGTTATAATTGTCTAGCCTGCAGTGGGGTACTCTATAGCGAGTACAACCCAATTAGGGTTTCCTATATGTATGCCAACTACTGCTAGTGCAACCCCCTCCTTTCTTCATTCTTCCTTTCCATTGCTAGTTTTAACATGCTATCAGAGCAGGTCGACCCTCCTGGGTCGATCCTGTGGGTGGGCCCACCACCTCACTGCTTCCGCTGCTACTGCTACTCTGTGTGTTGCACGCCCCGTGGCGTGCGACGGATTTTTTCATCCCGCCGCGCGCTCGGAGCGTGCGGCGGTTTTCTGCCCGCCGTGCGCCCCGAGGCGCGCGGCGGCTTTCTGCCCCGTCACTCCGCGCGTCGCTCCCGGGAGGCGCTGCGACGGGCGACGGGGACCCGCGCGTCGCCCCCCGTCGCCCGTCGCGGCCTGCGCGACCTGCGTAGGGCCCGCGCGCGGCCCGTATAGCCTGCGCGCGGCCCGTACGGGCTGCGCCAGGCCCGCGCGCGGCCCGTACGAGCTGCGCTAGGCCCGCGCGCGGCCCGTACGGGCTGCGCCAGGCCCGCGCGCGGCCCGTACGGGCAATGCCAGGCCCGCGCGCGGCCCGTACGGGCTGCGCCAGGCCAGGGCGCGCCTCGGGCCGCCCGCGCGCGGTTCGTACGGGCTGCGCCAGGCCCGTGGGCGCCCTGTTTCCTCTTCCCCTGAGCTGCCCGCTGTCCCCCGTGCTTCTGACGGCGCTCCACCCCTGCTGCTGCCCGTTCTCCTGAATTAGGGTTTGGGGTGGGGGGTATGGGGGTGTAGTTTCTGTGTGCCGTCCCCTGCTCCTCCTCCTCCTCCGTCTCCCAGTGCTGCAGCTGCCGCTGAGGGGGGTGGATCTGTTGGAGCCGTCGGAGTGGTACTAAGGGGTGAAGGGGGAGTGGAGCTAGGGGTGAAGCAGGGGGTGTGTCTCAGGGGGGGTGGGACTGTTTGGGGAGGCTGAGAGGAGGCTGCCGTCTTGTCGTCCGCAGCACCTGTAGTCCGGGGCGCTATCCTGGTAGCCCAGAGAGCCTGCTGCGCCTGTCGCCCGTGGGTCCGTTGCTCCTGTAGCTCCTCGTAGCCCGTGAGCCAGTTACTCCAGTAGTCCGGGGCGCTGTCCCGGTAGCCACTGTGCCAGCCGCTCCTGTTGCCCGTGTGTCTGCAGCTTCAGCCATCGTCTCCCATCTTCTCTCCTCTCACAGTCCCTCCTCCTCCTCCTCACTTGCCCACTGTGACTACCACTAGCTTTGCTCATAATTGTGAACTACTGCTATGCTTGCTCATTGTGCTGATTACACCCCACTTTGGCTATGGGGGTGTGTCAGAATGTTATAATTGTCTAGCCTGCAGTGGGGTACTCTATAGCGAGTACAACCCAATTAGGGTTTCCTATATGTATGCCAACTGCTGCTAGTGCAACCCCCTCCTTTCTTCATTCTTACTTTCCATTGCTAGTTTTAACAGATCAGATCAGATGAAGAAAATCGCCGACTTCGCGAATGGCGATCCCGAAGGCTCTCTCGTCGCGCGCCTCATGCGGGCCATTCGTTTTGTGTGCCGCACCAACACTCCCATCCACATGCTTCCCCAGATCGTCCAGTTCCT